ATCGAATTATGTAAAGTATTTAATTTTGCAAACATTATTGCATCTTCGATGTTGTCAAGTAAGGTGATAATGTTTTGACTATCTAGATTTATTTGTGTTAAAATTCCTTGAAGACTAATATAGTCGTGAAGATTACTGATTTGTTTATTCATTGCATTTTGAAATAGTCTTAATCCATAATTTAAGTTTTCTTGATTTTTACTAAGAATTGTGATAGTTTTATTATAATTGTTAAATTTTTGATAACGAAATTTGCATGTTTACTTCGTTTATAATGTTTTTGTGATCGTTTTTTAGTTTATTTATTATATTATCGTCTCGTTCACCGTCGTCTGAGTCAAGAGTACCAAATAACCATTTATTTGCCTTTCCTACGATGTTTAATAAACCTCTTTTACTTCGTATATGTGGATGAAGATTTTTTAATTTATTTAATGTTATTTGAGTTAATGTTTCGGTCCTTAAAAGAATATTTTGGGATAACCCGTGATAAGAAATAGGGTTAGAACTATTTTCTTGATCTATAAAATTCTTAATAGTTAAAAACTTACTTTCTATATCATTAAATTGATTAATAATAGTACCTAAGTCTATAAAATGTATAAATGTATGTTTACTATAAACTAGTTTAGATTCACCTAACTTAAGGGGTAATAAGTAATTATTAAGGGTTGTTATTTGGGTGTCGATTTTGATCATTTTCAACCTGTAATGAAATATTTTGTTAGGCTTTGAAATATTTTGTTTAGGCTTGTTTCGCTGCTTTTATGGTAAAACCCTTTATTTGTCTCAATTTTAATATCTGTTTCGTTTAAAACAGAGACCTTTTTAAATTTTGGAAGATCTTTCCCACGATTTTTAGTTTTTATGTACGCCGTATCTGCGTTAAGGTATTTAGGTGGGTCTATTCTATCTTCGTTTCTTTTGTTTATAATTTGTTCTTTTTTATTATGATTATTTTCCTGAATTTGATCGTAAAGTTTCTCTATGTCTTGTAAAAATCTATTAGCTTGAACAAATTTAAAAGAAGAAATTTTAAATAGATTTTGAAGAGTTACAGTGAAGAATTTTGCGAAATTATCGTCTCTAAAATACAATGCGTATGTTTGTTTTGGATCCATAAATTCTTTTAATAATTTAATAATATTTTTGGTGGTATTTTTAATAGATATGGTTACATAAAGTCGAGTATTTTGAAAAACTGTGTCATATCGACAATTAATATTTTCGATATCACCTGTTGTTAAAATAATTTGATGTTTAAATATATTTATTGATTGATTTTTCCTAAAAACTATTCTTAAAATAAATTCTCACAATGAGTAGAGAAAGGGGTTGCGCAATGCAAAGCTTAAATTATCCCAACCGACCACCTTAACCAGAGGGCGGAATGGGGCGAAAAGGAAAAATGCCCTTACAGTTTGATGCCGAAGTACGTCGTTTTTTTTTCTTTTCCTGATTCCCTGTCGTTGTTGTTGTGGACTCTGCTGCTGTCTTCTGGGGTTGTTCTTTCTCGATCCGTGCTTAAGGGTAGATACCACAAGTGGAAAACTAGTCCCGATATTCACTCGATTTTCTAGGATCTCCACCGCACAGATCCTACCGACTGCGCCAATTACGTTTCAAGAAAACAGGAGAGTCTTTTTAAAAAATAAAGTTTTAATTTTATTTAATAAAGTACAAGATGTTTACTGTAAGAGCAAAGACAATGGAATGATTTTTAACAATGTGAAGAGTCTCCTCGGCTTGGTGAAGGCTTCGTGGAAACTGCAAGGACTGCATCTTCCCATCAGGATGGCGTGATCTTTATAGCAGGTGTGCAGGAATCCGTGGGCGTAACTCGCGTATCTTGATGATGCTGTTAAGTCACTTGTATAGTAAATACAGGGTGTTTCAAAACAAATGCGAAAAATTTCAGGGGGTGATTCCTTGTTCAAAATAAAGGGTAGTTTGCTTTATAAACGTTGGGTCAAAAGTCAACCATTAGGGAGATATCGCAGTACAAAGATGGCGGAAAAATAATGTTTTTATTTTTTATCTTGAAAACGAAAAATGATAGATTAATGAAATTTTATGGAAGCATTACTTTTAAGAAAACATACTTTCTGGTAATTTTCTCACTTTTTTATAATGAGTGGAAGGGGTTGAAATAAACTACCCCTATCATTCTTGTTAACGAAATTTAAAAAAAATCTTATCAAACACATGCAAAAAAATTAATTTGGATAGCTTGGTTTGTTTAGATACTTTTCTATCTCTTGTGTTTCTTTGATAAAACTCGCCGATTTGAAATTAAAAAATAAAATGTAAAGCATTACATGTCAGGATAAAAAACATTTTTAGATAAAGAATCTAGTGATAATAACGCTAATAATAAGAATCTAGATAATAACGTATTGCAGTAGAGTAATGTCAATGAAATAATATTAGAAACATCCTAAAAAGTGACAGCGGCCCACTAGATTTTTTCCTAAAAAAATTAGAGCAGCCCACTAGATTCTTTATCTAAAAATGTCTTTTGACCTGACATGTAATGCTTTACATTTAATTTTTTAATTTCAAATCGGTGAGTTTTATCAAAAAAACACAAGAGATAAAAAAAGTTTCTAAACAAACCAAGCTATCCAAATTAATTTTTTTGCATGTGTTTGATAAGATTTTTCTTTAAATTTCGATAACAAGAATGATAAGGGTAGTTTATTTCAACCCCTTCCACTCATTTTAAAAAAGTGAAAAAATTACCAGAAAGTGTGTTTTCATAACAGCAATACTTCCATAAAATTTCATTAGTCTATCTCTTTTCGTTTTCAAGATAAAAAATAAAAACCTTATTTTTCCGCCATCTTTGTACCGCGATATCTCCCTAATGGTTGACTTTTGACCCAACGTTTATGAAGCAAACTACCCTTTATTTTGAACAAGGAATCGCCCCCTGAAGTTTTTCGCATTTGTTTTGAAACACCCTGTATATCTATTAACGCCTAGGCACGTAACCTAAAGCACTTTTACGCCTAAGCTGGCCTAACCATATAAAAGTACGAAAATATATTATTCAACTGACATAAAGTGTCAAATTCAACGAGCGTAACCATAGCTTCTCGATATATAATTACATACAAGGTATGACTTGGCTATGACTTTTAAATCTTTTTATATTATCTGGAACGTTTTAAATTGTTTAAAAAATTATTTGTGGAGTTTGAAAAAAAATAGCATGTTCTATTCGGAGTAAAAATGACTTTTTGTGCCTAGGCTGTATATCAAACATACAGCCTCGCCACAAGAAGTGTCACTTTTTTACTCCTAATAAAACAATAAGTATACTATTTTTTTCTTAAAAAATATGCACGGTGGCGTTTACACAAAATGCAGTAAATACTAAAGGAACCTTTTTACGAAAAGAAAATAGGTTGTCGGCGGAGTTGGAAAATATTTATACTAAAATTTATGTAGAAGTGGAGGTAGTTTCCATCCTTCCCGTGCTTTAACTAGATTTTTCTGAAAGTCAAATGTTAGGGCACTTAGCAAAACCCTTGTATATGAATAAAACATAGGCACCCAAAATCTTACTAATAGTGAGGTGCCCAGGGACTTTTACCTCGGAATTCAATTACTGTGCAAATTACCCATTTTTTTTCGTTGCTCATAATTTTTTATTTTAGTAATTTTAGTAAATTCTTAATTATTTCCTTCTCTTTATTTTTTGATTTTTAGCTGACCATACCAATAGGTATGGTAGGCTATTAGGATCGGCAAAAAAGTTAAAAAAAAAGTTTTTAGTTTTTAAATTGGCGCCGTATAGTCGCCCATACTAAAATTGTTAATATCTCGAAAATTGCGACTTTGACTGATTTTGATGTTATTACAAATTTTGTTGCAAATATTATTCCTAATCTTAATTTGAAAACCGCGTTTCGCTAGCTACTGTAATTTTGGAGTTACGATTTTTTTAAATTTTTAACCCCCTCCTATACCCCCTTACCAACACCCCACCCCCACCAAAAACTAATGGCCAGATTCTCGGGTGCCACAGTATTTTTGAGCCAAATTTGGTTAAAATCGGTTCAGCGGTTTTTGAGTTATCGTGTTACAGACGGCAGACAGACAGACAGACAGACACCACGAAAATATTTTGTATTTAGGTCATTTATGGCCCAAATAACTCATTTTGGGTGCAATTCATTATCAATTTGAAAATATGGCAAACGGCGGTTCCTTAGCGATAAAATTACAATAAGTCGATCGTCTCGATTAGAAGTTTGGTTTGGATACGAAGGTTCCTAGACGTCTAGATTGACGTCCTCATAGTTGTGGTCATCGTTCAAAAACCACTTAGTATACTCTATAGGTATTTTTGAACCGGAATTTTATAGCAAATTCACTGAGCTAAACAAATATAGATATATATTTGACTCACCCTGTATATCTATAAAAATATTTTTGAAATGTGAACTACCATTAAGCACATATTTTGTAAAAGGTTTGGAGTAAAAATCTCAAATATGAATCCTGATACAGAGCTTTTGCGGAATACGGAGCCATCTTGTATGTATGCATTTGTATATATGTGTTTATTTAAATACTAAAGTAAAAGCAACGAATTTAAATGGGCAAATTTTGTAATATATCTTATTAACAATACAATGCAAAATGTTTTATAAAAATTCGTTCACAGTAAAGGAATTCCGAGGTTTGTATCCCATAAGGGCTTAAAGCATTGCACTATAAAACCGGAATAAGGTTTTTAAAATATCTGAAAAAATGTGTTTATTTTTTTAAAGTTTGATGCCCTCTAGCGGACAAACGAAGCACTTTTGTATAGAGGTAAATTGTGTCCAATGAACTTATTTTGATTCTGAAAATACGTAGTAGTTCTATTTTCATAGAATATTGGGACACCCTGTATATTACATAATATACAGGGTGTATAACGGTGGTATAATTATAAGATTTTTATACTTTGGCTATATAACAATATAATTATCTAAAACGTAACTTACAAAGTATGGATTAAAGTGTCCTCCTAACTTATCACACCCCTCTCTAAGATCTCCAGCCTGGTGAATATGAATACCATGATTGCCTTGGGACAGACCTAGGCAAAAAATATTTTATAAAATGTATTACAAAAATATATTCTTAACTTATATTTTTACATACCTGTAATGTTGCCTCTTATAAATATTGGTCCATTAGGCGGGTGTTTCTGAACAAATACAACTTCACCCCCTACTTCTCCTTCGTCTGCGCTAGTTAAAACAGCTACAGCCGCTTGTGGTCTGATATCCTGTTAATTAATACAGATCTATTAATACTAAATAATTTCACAATCTATCTTTAGCGAGATCTTTTGTAAATGAAATTTGAAAAAAATAAAATAAAATGTCTATAATGGTGAATGTTTAGAAGGTTTTTCAATTTTTTTAAAATTTTAATATTTTAATTTTTTTTTCCAAAAAAAAAATAGAAATGGATATAATGATGAAGTTTTTTAAATTTTTTAAAAAATTTAATGCCTTTCTTCGATATGAAAATTGAATTAAATTAAACTATTTACCCCCTTGAAAAAGAAAATAAAGGCTTGGCATATGTAAAAAACTGATTTAAATATAAATATATACCAGAGTCTGTATACTTACTTTGATCTGTATTAAAAGTAATGAAAGTGTCTCAGCTCCCTCAAATTTTTAAAATGTCTTTTATGTCAACATTATATAGGGTGATTCTTCACGTAAAAATAAGATTTATTTTTCATCTCAACATAGGTCCTGCTTTTTTTCGTAGCGACAGGGTGTTAAAGTCTTAATATTTTTTCGATTTATTATAATTTTTATGCGTTTGGAATGAAATTTTGAGGGTTGTAAATACGACATATTTTAAAGCTAAAAACGTGTCGACAGATTCTCGAGGGACGCCGGACATGCATATATGGGTTATCATTCGAATATTTTTCTAAAAAAAAAAATCTACACCACTGACTTTTTTTCTTTTGTTATCAAAATAGTGTAAGCAGTTTAATACCGATTAAAAGTTGTCTCTTGATATGTTGTCGATTTTGGCTTCCTTGATGAGATAAACGCAATTTTATTAATTTGCCTTGATCAAAGTCTAATAGCAACCTTTAAAAAAAATTAATATCATTAACTTCCGAAAGTTTTAAATAAGTACTCATTGATTCCTCATCAAAAAATATAAAAAAAGTTCCTATAAACATGGGTATGGAAACGCATAGTTTTAGATTTACAGGGCGTTGAAACTTTTTAAAAGTAGGTTTTTTGAAATTAACTTAAATACTATTATTTTTTTTTTATTTGAAATTGCTGTAGGTTGGACTAATAGTAATAATATTTAATAATAAATTAGGTAAAATATACAGGGTGTTTCAAAACAAATGCGAAAAAGTTTAGGGGGTGATTCCTTGTTCAAAATAAAGGGTAGTTTGCTTTATAAACGTTGGGTCAAAAGTCAACCATTAGGGAGATATCGCGGTACAAAGATGGCGGAAAAATAAAGTTTTTATTTTTTATCTTGAAAACGAAAAGAGATAGACTAATGAAATTTTATGGAAGCATTACTGTTATGAAAACACACTTTCAGGTAATTTTTTACTTTTTTAAAATGAGTGGAAGGGGTTGAAATAAACTACCCCTATCATTCTTGTTAACGAAATTTAAAGAAAAATCTTATCAAACACATGCAAATGCATTAATTTTGATAGTTTAGTTTGTTTAGAAACTTTTTTACCTCTTGTGTTTTTTTGATAAAATTCACCGATTGGAAATTAAAAAATAAAATGTAAAGCATTACATGTCAGGACAAAAAACATTTTTAGATTAAGAATCTAGTGATAATAACGATAATAATTATCATCTAGATAATAACGTATTGCAGTAGAGTAATGTCAAATAAAATAATATTAGGAACATCCTAAAAAGTAACAGCGGCCGACTAGATTTTTTCCTAAAAAAATTACAGCAGCCCACTCGATTCTTTATCAGAAAATGTTTTTTATCCTGACATGTAATGCTTTACATTTTATTTTTTAATTTCAAATCGGTGAGTTTTATCAAAAAAATACAAGAGATAAAAAGTTTCTAAACAAACTAAACTATCCAAATTAATTCTTTTGCATGTGTTTGATAAGATTTTTCTTTAAATTTCATTCACAAGAATGATAGGGGTAGTTTATTTCAACCCCTTCCACTCATTTTAAAAAAGTGAAAAAATTACCAGAAAGTGTGTTTTCATAACAGTAATGCTTCCATAAAATTTTATTAGTCTATCTCTTTTCGTTTTCAAGATAAAAAATAAAAACATTATTTTTCCACCATCTTATTAATATCTCCCTAATGGTTGATTTTTGACCCAACGTTTATGAAGCAAACTACCCTTTATTTTGAACAAGGAAGGACATTTCACCCCCTGAAGTTTTTCGCATTTGTTTTGAAATACCCTGTATAATTTATTAATTTTGTTTTAATTTTATTAATTGTGATTAATAAAATTGCATTTAACCGTAACCACCGTAATAACAAGGCCGGACAGCTTATTCGTGACGTCATCAACTGGAGGCCTAAACATTGATTGCATTTGATACACTTTATACGTATATAATGGATATAAACTTTAATTGTACCGAATTTTTAATAAATAATAATTAAACAAAAAATTTAAAAAACATCAGATTGATATCCCATCTCACATTATCCATCGTCATTGTATTTATTTATGCTGTAAGTGTGTCTAAGTTTCTTTTATTTCCTTTTCCAAGTCTATCATTATTTTTTAACAAGAGTAGTTTTTCAGACTTGTATTTCTAATAGAATTTATGACAATTTTTACAATAACTTAGAATTGTAAATAGTACATTGCGGAAATTTTAATAATGGTGTTATTATTTTTAATGTAATCCAAAGATATTTTTGACAAAAATATTTTTTATTGTGAATTTTGAGAAACTCCTCAAAAATTATATATTCAAATAAAACTATATTAGTTATTTCATCTTTTGGAAACTGAGGGTGCAGCCACACTATCCTAAAAACAGCGTATCGGCGTAACGGCGTAATGACCTTGAATAGATTTCCAGTAATTCTATTGGCTGAAACATTCATCTGTCAGAAATTTTATCTGTCAAATTCATCTGTCAAAAATTTCAGCCAATAGAATTACTGGAAATCGATTCAAGGTCGTTACGCCGTTACGCCGATACGCCGTTTTTAGGATAGTGTGGCTGCACCCTTAAGACTGCCTTTAGTAAGGTTTTTTATAAGTGAATTTTGTTCAATATCAGTGTTGTCTAAAAATGTTAAATTATTTTTAGGGACATTAATGACTGAATCTTAAGTTTCTTTTCGCTTTCATATAAATGTCGAACACAAATACTGTACTGACTCCCGGCTAACTTTGGAAAATATAGACAATTTTCCAAACCTACTTTCAAGAGGATCAGTTTGCAAGTTCTCTAGTAAAACATACCTCATATTTTACTCATTAAAACAATATTTTATTACTTCAAGCTCAACCTGTTACTCAACTTAAGTTAATAACTTTAATATTGAACACAGATAAAAGTTAGAAATTTTTTATCATTTTCATCGCATTTTAAGGAATTTAGTAAATAACAAACATGACTAATAATTTGATCAGTATTACTATCAGGGTTCGGAAAACTACATGTTACTCTTAAAAACTACATAAACTACATTACATGTAGTTAATCGATGTAGAGGGTGTAGTTTATGTGACTTTCAAATATGAAAGGTTTGAGGTGAGGTAAAGGGTAAGTAAAAGCTTTAGAAAATACATATAAATATATTTGAGAAAACAGAAGAAATATAGCTTTAAATATAATATTCACATCTTATTATTTAGACATTATACCTTTTAAAATGTATAATTGCACACACTTATAATCACTTTATAGTTTAAACACCTCTTTTTACACATTTATAACTTTTTTCACCTTTCTATTATCGATTATAATTACCACGTCCGCACATCTACCGCTAAATCAATGACTGTTAACTGCGGCAATACCACTCCGCTACGCGCTACGACAGGTGCCGCCACGCGACGCCGCGCGCCGGCGCACAGGGATGCCGAAGACGCGAAAAGTGGCAAAAAATAATTTCTCAGCTTACTGCTACATTTTTTAAAATTATTTTTGTTAAATGTGGTTTTCTAAGTGTATAAGTGATGTTTGGAATTCAGAAAATTGAATTATGTATACAGTGTGTACTTAAATTGGCTGTAAAAAATAAAAAATGGGTTGTAAAAAATTTAATTAAATTATTTTGTCTTCAATAGCATATTAATTTAATAGGTACTCTATTCTTTGTAAAGTTTAAAAAATCAAAAAAAGTTTGTGTAAACACATTAATAAATATACAGGGTTTTATTTTCAGCCCCTTACAATAGAATTAGCATTTCGTTTTTACTATAATTAATCCTTTTTTCAGAACTAGTTACCAATAAGTATTACTTAAATTCAAGATATTGACATTCATTTCCATGAGAAAAAAAAGAAAGTAAATACATCTGTATATTTTATTTAATTAGATATTAATGAAAGTAACACCTTTGATTAAGGGTAACACCAAAACATCTAAAAGACTGAGCGCTCTTTTCGCATTAGATGTAAGCAGTTGTTCACTTACAGCCATTTAATTTTAGTTATATTTTTAAATGTTCTATAATTTAGAAATATCTGTAATTACCTGTGGTAAAAATATTCAGATGATAATTAGAACTTAGTTACAAGAATTTAATGCGCAAGAAAAAGAAACTAAAAATTATCCTAAAGCTTCTAGATAAGATGGATAATATATTTAAGATGGATTTAGCAAATGGATAAAAAAATAGAATAATTTAATCTATAATAAGTTTTGGAGCCTCAGGATGCTGTTTTATTTTACTTGACAGGAGAAGTCTTGGTGATCTCTTACTATATCCGAGAAAATTAGTATCTAGAAGGTGCATGACACTCTTGATAAAAGTTGTTGAATGAATATTGACGCATGATAGACACATTGACACGTCTTTTTAGTTTATATTAACAATAATTATTCAAAATTAATGAGATTTCTAATAATATTAAATTTAATGTCATATAAGCACAAAACGAATAAAAACTTAGGCTTAACAGGGAAAGCTAGTTAAAATTACACAATAAAAAGTATTTTTAAATTTGAATACTTTGTATATCGAAAATTAAATTGAATAAGAGAAAATATATTACAGTTTTCTTTCTTCAACTAATTAAAAATAACCAACAACAATATTTTACAGCACCTAAGAAACACCCAGTAATATACTGTCATACGTAATTTATTTTGGGAAACTAAACCATGGTTTTCGGGAGAGTTAGGCAACCTAAAGGGTATTTGTGGGCTAATGTTGGTCATGAAACTTCGTAGTTATGAAGAAAAAAGGCTAATAATTGTAACCTACATCATATTTTTTTGGAGCAATTTGGAGCATTTTGTATTAGCTTACATAAAATGTGATTTTATAATAAGCAGTTCTTAATTACATCAAGGTCTTCATTGATTTTTTTTATGGTACAAGGGAAGTTAAAACTAGAATTACCATGAAGAAAAACAGTTGAAAACATTGTACTTTCTCAGAGTACCATCAGTTTTTAACTAATTTATCACCAACGTTAAACGCACTAATTTTATTTAATCAAAATTTAATCAAAATATTTTAGCTTCAGCTAATAATTTTATAAGCTCGAACATTTCTTATCAGGGATTAATAATGGGCCCGTTTTCATTCAAAAATCTTCACGATTCTGAAAATATGGTCTATTAGGAACTATACGAGTGAAATTATAATTAAAAAAAATTACTTTTGATATTTTGATTTTCTGCCGCTTTTGGGAACTTCTGCATCACTGTGCGGCGCCGCGCCCTCACCCCGGAGCAGAGGGCGTGAAATATCGATAAAATACATAATATATACTATAAAAAATATCTATTTTTTTATTGTTTTTTTCTCATATTATACACTATTGTGAACTTAAAATACTCCTTTATTAAATTTGATTGACAAAAAGTGAGAGATAAACATTTATTGACTGGTACGATTTTTTCCGTATTCTATTAAAACTATTTTTATATACTATAATATTTTTAAAAACTCGGAAAAGACATTTTAAAACTTCGAAATATATCTGGCGAGTGAAAAAAGATCCACAATTTGAACTTTTATCGGGTAATTATCAGCTGCTAAATAGAGTTGGGCCTCCAGTTGGTGACGTCACGAGATTTTTACGTCACAGCTGTCCGGCCTTGTTATTACGGTGGTTACGGTTTAACTCATCAAGGAGGTCGACAAATTATCGAGAGATAATTGGCATTAAACGGCTTACACAATTTTGATATAAAAAGAAAAAAAATTAATGGCGCACACGTTCTGTTTTTGAAAAAAATTCCTGTGATAACCCATATGCATGTCTTTAATGAATTTATCTTGCCCTCTAAATTTCATTCGAATTACGAAAAGTACTTAGAAGAAAATTATAATAAATCGAAAGATTATTAATAAATCGAAAGATTATTAGGACTTTAACACTCTGTAGCTACGAAACAAAGCAGAATGGGACCTATGTCGATATGAAAAATAAATCTTATAATATCGTATTATCTACTTACAAAGTTATAGGGTTCCTCAAACACCTCGTACAAATCACTTTGGTAGTTCGCTATCGCCGGATACGATTTGATTGCCAAATGTCTTCCTTCACCAGGCACACCAAGGATATTTTTTGCCGAAATTTCCTGTAAAGCCGCAGCGCGCACAAATTTACATGGAACCAAAGAAAAAACTATTAAAGCTTCTACCACAAAACTTAAAAATCGTTCTTTTGAACCGATCATTATAAATCTTTATTTATTAGACACCGCACATTAATATCTAATCTGAAGAATAATATTTATAGCTGAATTATACGGCATTAAAAATTGTTTATTATAGAAAAAAAATCGTAGACGATTATTGAACTTTTTTCAGCCGATTCTCGGTATTGTCTTGTCAATGTTAGCGGCGCCCACGAATTAAAAGAACCATTGAGTAATGGTCGTATAAATAGTACCTACGGAGGATGTAAAAATCGGGATGACACATGAAGCGTACAACTATAATCATCAAACATCTTGTCTATGATGATAACTGTTTGAACATCGTCGTTTATGCGCAAATTAATTGTTTACGTGTTGTATAGCGTGCGCAAAATAATGTCTTTTTTGTCAGAGTCACTAATCACTAATCACAGAGAAAATAATACGTTTGAATATACTCTTTTCCGTAATTTTAAATACAGGGTGGCGCATCTTATTCGCCTCGGTTAATTATACGAAAACTAAAATACAATTATATCCGCAGCAAAGTTATATTTTTTCTTATGGAACACCCGGTATTTTATTTCATTTTTGGATTCTTGACACAAAGTATTCTATATGTTTTCAAGCTTTGGTTTTTGACATATTTAAAGATATTTAAATATGCATGGTATAATATAAAAGATTGTCAACACCCTGTACATTACTTTTTAGAATTAATTCTTGTGCTGATAAAAGCCAGAGAAATATACTTTACTGAAAATTTTGATTGCTTCGTTTAATGTATACAGGGGCATCGAAAACTGCTGGTCTATTTTAAATATTTATTTTACATAAAAACTTCGGTATTTCAAATGTAACACTCTGTATTTTTTAATATATGTCGAAGCAGATTTAAAAGCTCTTTCAAACTATATTAGGGTTTCCTATACATATCTAGCTTAGATTTTGAATAAAGAGCAATTTTTCAAAAAAATGGCAACCAAGGTGGCTGGTGTCGCCATGTCAATTTTCTAGTGATACTTAGTTGCTATTTTCAAAATCGACATTAGTTTATGGACTTTTATAGCAGTTTACTTTTATTTAATTTACCAAAATAGCTTAATAAATAATATTTATTAAATATGTTTTTATTAATTTATCAAGAAAAACGAAAAAGTAGTTCTTTGATTTATTTTACGATGGCTTGTAGATATATGGATTTTCTATAAAAGAGCCAATAACGACAAATTCATTTTCTTCACTTCCAACTACAAGTTTCTGCCCTAATAGGATTTTTATAACCTACACTACCAGCTCTGCGAAATAGGACAAGTAGTTTTTCAAAGGAACGCTTATCAGGAAGATTCCTATCTGGATATCTTTGAGCATAAGCCCTTGAGGCCAAGAAGCAATTTTCCTCACAAAATAAAATCACTAGTAACATATCCATTCGTGCCATCAGCAGATACTGCTTTATTTTTCTTGATAAAATAATGAATACTTACTTATTAAACTATTGTGAGTAAATTTAAGTAAACTGCTATAAATCTAAACAACAAAGTCCATAAACTAATATCGATTTTAATAATAATTATAAACTGTCACTAGAAAATTGCCATAGCGACACCAGCCATCGTGATTGCCATTTTAGTAAAAAAATCGCTTTTATTCAAAATCTGAGCTAGATAGTTAGTTTAGGTTAGGTTAGGTCAAGATACAACTTTTAATCGGCATTAAATTAATGGCCTACATAATTTTACTAACAAGAAAAAAGTCAGTGGCGCACATGTTTTGCTAGAAAAATATTCCAGTGATAACCCATATGCATGTCCCTGGTAAATCTGTCGACACTTTTTTAGCCTTAAAATATGTAGCATTTATAGTAACTTTAACCCTCAAAATTTCAATCGAATCGCTAAAAACACTTGGAAGAAAATAACAATTCGAAAAAATATAAAGATTTTAACACCCTGTAGCTACGAAACAAAGCAGAATCGGACCTATGTTGATATGAAAAATAAATCTTATTTTTATTGAGGAATCTCCCCATACGAGATGACACATGTTTTTTGAAAAACCCTGCAGATGCTTGAAAATACTAAAAATTCATATTTTTTTTTAAATTCAAACAGAACAGAAAGATATTAATTTATATTATTAACTATGAAAACACATCCAATTTATTTCAAACAAATAAAATTTACGCCACGAAAAATATATTTTATTTTATTTTATTTTTTTTTATTCGTAACAATCTCATTTAAATGATGAGTGATTTTATTATTAATGAATATTTTCCGAACTATTAAATTTTTATTCTCTCTATATCTAAAAGGTGTTGAAAATATTTACTTCTATGTTTTCTGCTCACTCTATACGTTTTGTAGAAAAACTACAGGTTTACCTTTGATTTAATGACAGGTTTTCATTATTATGTGAGGTCATATTCACATATCGTACGCACTTTTTTGATAAAAATAAATTTGAATATGAGAAAATTATTATTTTTGGACACATGCTTAAATAATTTCCGCAATATCTTCACTAATCTCAAATCAACAACAAATTTTTGTTTTGATTAAATTTTATTCGCAGGTAAACAATATCTACATAAACAAAGAAGTTAGTTTTACCGAAATATTATTAAATTTTTTTATAAACTTGATTATATTATTATTATCGACGTAAAAAATATTGATGTTAAAATGATCATGTGGTATATTTATGTTTCTATCGATGATTTAATTTTTCCTTCAATTTGCGATTATAAATAACTTTTTGTAATCGTTAGTTACGATTGATTTATTTGACAATAAGTGAATTCGCAAGTTAACAATCAGCCAATAAAACATAAAAGCAAAAACGTAATTAACTTTTACAATAAGTAATATTTAACCATTTGAATCACGCAATGGAGAGTATAGAAAATAAGCTAAAAGCTAAGTCAGTAGTTATATTATACTTCCGGTATCTGATAATTTATGTCTTACTTGTTTATTATTTGCAAGTAAAAAAAGCATATACAGCCGATATTATATGACATTCAAACAATTTAATTTTTGAAATAGATAGCCACATGTCTTCTCTTTATGTCCCAGTGGCTGTGGTAATCACTAAATTTGACGTTTAAGCTATACAAATTTTTTTGACAAGCAGTTTTTTTCCTCCAAATTTAAATATTTGTTTTCTCAAAAACGGTTAATGTTGGGTATAGAGTGTTTGATATCAAAATACATAAAATTTTACAGAGAATTTAAGTATGTAATAAAAAATGAGAGTACCGGTATTACTGTCAACTTCCGGTATTTCCGCCACATTGAAAATAATTTTAATCGATAGATTTCATTGTGAAACAATGATGTGCAAAAAATCTCCGATCTAGATATTGTAGTTCTCAAGAAACTTCTAATGCACGCGCAGCCTGGGACACCCTGTATACCACATTTACTTAAATATAATAGAATTAAGAGAGGAAAAAAACAGAAAAACTAATAATGATACCATTTAATATAAATGTTACGGATAAAAAATTACGGTAAAAATGTTTCACTCGGTAGTGTAATACAGGGACGGACGAAAAGTTATTACTCTTCAAATCAGTTAAAAAAGATGTATATAGGTGGCGCCCCTTACAAGTAGGAGTTACATTGACCTCGAAATCAAATTTCTCATGTTAAAAAAAACCAGATACTAATTTTCATCCAAAATTTAGTTCAGAAATTATTAGGAAAAAATCGATATAAAACTGAAATTTCTACACCCTGTATCTCCGAAACGAAGCATTTTAGGACATAAGTTTATACGAACTTTTTGACTTGTTTTATGTATATACAGAGTGGTCCTAAAATGCTTAGTTTCGGAGATACAGGGCGTCGAAGTTTCATTTTTATTTCGATTTTTTCCAAATAATTTATGAAGTAACGTCAATATTTGGATGAAAGTTGGTATCTGGGACTTTTTTGACATGAAAAATTTGTTTTTGATGTCAATATGACTCCTATTTATAAGGGGCACCATCTAGATGTGTTTTAACTGTTTTGAAGAGTAATTACTTTCGTCCGTACCTGTATAAAACTACTGAGTGAAAAAATATACATTTCCGTGATTTTCTACGCACATAATTAATGTCTAGTACATAAAAAATGTCTCTTGGTAAAAATCTCTACGAGCAATCGTTTTCAAGGTATTTTAGAATTGAAATAGTCAATACATGTCATTGTTGACAAAAAACAAACAGTTATTTGACTGAAATTATAAATTTGAGAACTTTTTATTTTTTTAAAGTAATCATAATTTTTTTTCGAAAAAATTGATGATAAAAGAGTTTCTGTTGAACTTTTTCAGGGGCGTTTTCACCCTCTTTGAATTTGAGATTCAAGAAACCCCTCCTATCGAACCTCTACACTCCACAGTCAATCCGTTTGGTTTGGTTTGGCAAAAATCAGCTTTAAACGTCAAGCAGTTTAAGCATAATCGTAATTACTCAATGGTCATATTTTATGAAACACCCTGTATAAATTTTTAAAAAATCTTAAAATATGTAAAACAACAAAATAAAATATACGTGTTAATTCAACAGAAACTCTTGTTGAACTTTTAACATAATAATATTTCAAATTTATGATTTCAGTCTAATAACTATTTGGTCAACATGTTTAATTTATGTGAATGATGACAGGTATTGATAATTTCGTTTTCAAATATCTTGAGAACCATTACCCATGGCGATTTTTACCAAGATACCTTTTTTACGTAAAAAACGTCGCAAATGTATATTTTTTACTCAGTAATTTTATATAGGTACGGACGAAAAGTTAATATACTTTACAAGTAGGAGTAATAATATATTGACATTAAAATCAAATTTATCATGTAAAAAGACTCCCAGGCACTAATTTCCATCCAAATATTGACGTTACTTCAAAAATTATTTGAAAAAAATCTAAATAAAAATGAAACTTCTACACTGTGTATCTCCGAAACTAAGCATCTGCAGAATATGCTTCCGAAGTTACAGAACCGGAATACAGTGCGGACCACCCTGTAGATAAATTGTATGCATCTTTCGATAGCGTAGATTTCTGCCTCAAGGATTCCTGGGGTAGGTGCCCATTGGTTCGGAGTATTTAGTTTTCGGCCCAAATACTCCTATCCCTGTCACTGCTTTGGTTTTGGAAGTATCCGTATACCACGTTATGGTATGATCTTTTACTTGCTGAGCAAATGCTTCTTTTCCAATTCTTTTTATTACTCAATACTACAGTGAGGTGTTTCTCAACATTCTTGGTAAAGTACGTCTACTGGATCTGTGTCTACATATAAAAGGAATGCGTGAAGGAGTCCACATGGACTTGACGAGTATGTCACCGCAAAACACTCCACAGAAACACTCCGCCCATTCATTCGCTACTTGTAAATTTGTCGATTTCTTATTGATGGGACGCGTCGTCTAATTTTACGAGAAACATCGAGAGAATATCGATTCCCCCAAATACGTTTAAAATAAAATTTTATTTAAACGTATTTGGTTTCCCCCTTGGGGATGCCCCGTAGCTACAGAACGGATAGACGTACTGTATGTCTTCCAATGAGAGTTGGACAAGTAATTTTCTTTTTGAGGTTGTTCCAAGCCGCTGCGCTGACCTGAAAATTATCCCAGTACTGTTTCCGTTAATGACAACTCTATTCATTGTCGCATGGCATATCTACCAACGAGAATGAGTAGTGGTGCTAGGTCTAGGATGACCTCCATTGCTGCTGTTTCAATATGGGATACAAATATCTAATATTTATGTTCTGGGGTAGACGCTTTGTTCCGATCCATGTTAAAAATATTATTATTTTCAAGATATAATATTAGATATATTATTTCATACATTTTAAACAGATTTAATGATATTCTACAACTTTTTAGTATAATCTACCCCCATTCTGCCTCAAATCTGCCCGCATTCTGCCCGACAAAGGAATAGTGACAGTGACAGTTATTGTTCTGTCATTTTTTGAATGTCGTCTTTCTCAGACTTTAGCATTTAAATGCACAAGATAAACATTATAGATTATTAAACAATTTAAGTTCTATTTCTATTAAATAATTTTAAACCGGAAACCATCAAGTTGCGTTATAAAAAAGATATGATAAAAATAAGATATCATGTACTAAGTACCTTTCCTTGCCATTAAGATATTAATTTGTAATAAATATATTAAAAAGCAAAACTCCTTTTGTGGTAATTCATTCTCCATCTGAATATTAATTCTTTAATTATTACAATTTGTAAATTTAAAAGAACCAACTTTTATATTTTTAATCCCTCACATTTATTTCTGTTTCATAGTTGTAGTATTTGAAAAAAAAACCTTTTTTATTCTTTGCAACAACTGAATTATAGCCTACGAACTTAAACGTAATTAAGTATAAATTAAATATATGCACAACAACCTTGGATCTGTTTAAGTAACTAAGTATAGACTTTTGCAATATCTTCTTCGACTTCAATAATGAATTACTTACATCACATATTATTTATTTAAATAATAGGCTATTATATCTGTTAAGGTAAAATTTCTTTAAAAAAAATATATCTAAAAATAATTGGCTACAACAGAGATTCGATCTGTCTAAATGTCGATGATAGACGGGTGACAGACATTTCGTGAATTATATTAAAAGTAAACGGTTTTTCAAAATTACGAATATGTAACTCGTATTTTGTAAATATTTCTGAAAAAATTCATGGTGATTTTGCTTCGTGTCAAGCTAATTTTTTAATGGAACCATGATGTCAAATAAAGTGAGTGAAACAAGAAAAAAGTAATATAGAAAATATGCGCTTACTCTTATTTTTTTAGTTTTGTACAGGAAAGGAGATGAAGCATGAACATGAAATAGATGATTTAATAATGCTAGAGGATTCTGCTCGTGGAACTTTGTGTGCTATCCACAAAACAATCCACTCCACGGATAACTTCCCGAGTTCCAGACATAAAATGATGAGACTATGTCCCGTATCTCGTAATCCATCTATTCAGAATCACAACAGAGGACCAGTAAAGTAAAATACTCATATAAAAGAGTAAAAGCAAATTCCGGTCTATAGAGTTCTTTTGAAATTTGTGTTAAAACATTTTTTCATTTTTTTAATATGTTGTAATCTATCTCAGATGATGCCCGGTGGCGTAGAGGTACAGTTCTCGTCTACCAATCTAAAGGTTGTAGGTTCAAATCCTACAGCCGGCATTTCATCAGCCGACTATTTTTATTAAAATAAAAATAGTTTGGGTACCTAGGTCGACTCAGCCTTAAATGAGTACTTGCGATTCACAATCCTGAGGTAATAATAGAGGGTTGAAGCGTAGTGCTAGCCACATTACCTTCCTTGTATATCGAACGGCTCCATCATGACAAGCTGTACCTTGCTACTCCCAAGCATAAAATAATTAACTAGAAAGAAGAGTCAACTCTGTGTTAAATCGTGGAAACACGATACGCCACCGAAAGCCTTTGTTGTCGTCTGGAGAACTAATTTTCCAATTGACAGGTTGACATGATGGCTTCATTTTTATTTCCGTTTCCGGTTATTCAATGGCGGGCCCTCTTTTATTATGTATTTTGTACTCTTTCTTATCATAAATAAAACAAAACAAAATTTTATTCAAACATATTTATTTGAAATATGAGACAACGTGACTAAATAAATATAAAAAATAAAGAATTGAATGATTTCTACAGCAATTACTTAATTATATGCAATTTTAACCTAAATTAGTAAGGTATAAGCATGACTTACAGTAATTTGTAAATAAATACACGTATTCATAGCCATCAGGGACAGAAAACTGGGGCAGGAACATGAAAACGGAAGCCTTATACAAAAACCTGAAAACAGAGAAACACATTTTTTTATACTAAAATTAACTATAATGTTACGAAATATCATATAGGGTATAAATATAAATATAACTTGTTTAAAAAAAGCGTCCATTATTCCCAAAGAGAACTGCTGTATAAATGTAAAAGAAAAAAGAGACTTAGTCAGATAACATAATCAGATTATCAGTCCGATTTATTGCATTTTTGACAATAAATCGCACATACTGGAGATAACTAATGTTGGCTAAGTGAAAGTTAAAAATGATCTTACCTTGCTGTAAATTGTTTCCATTTTCAAAAAAATCGCATGATCAAAAGATTATAACACCATTTTCTTGCATCTAAAAATGAAAAAAACAGTGTTTATTTCCTACCTATTTTTCATACACATGGGACATACCTACTACTGCAGAAACATCATTTTAAAAGGATTCTTGAAATGTAATATATATTTTATATACTTTATTACCTTTATATTTATAAATTTCAGCCGAAATATTAAATTGAACTTCAAAACGAAACTAAACGGAATGAATTAAAATGGCGTCGAATATTTTCTAATTTGTTCTAGAACAAATCTGAAGTTGTCTCTGAAACTGAAATGATGTCACAATTCTAAACTGTGAAGTAGACAATAGTTAGACAAAAACAATGCTGTCCTTGTCTAGGCGGACTTGTCGTGAGGAGAATTACAGGAATGACACTAATGACTGTTACCAATTTTCCTATTTCACTGTCACCTCCCTGCTCCCAAGGCGTTAAGCGCTATACCGGGTGCGTCTCAAAAGTGGCTCACCCCTATAACTTATTAACTATTTATTTTTGCAGATAAAAAATTGAGATTTGGTATGTTAGTATGTAACGCGAATTAGGTTTTATTGACGTATTCAATTGTTTTCGATCAATTCCTGTTTCACCGGAAATGACTACAACTTTTGATTTTTAAATAGCACGCTCGGTATTTTTTTACTTTATTTGATAGAAAATGACACTCTGAATAGAATGACATATCATATGTCAACTTTTGACATTTTCGAATATAGTTTATTTGAAATTGCAACAAACGGTTCATAACGACAATTTGACTCGAAATACCAAGTGTGTGGTATCAAATTATTCATAAAAAAATGTTTTTTCCAAATATGCTAATGAGCCACCCTCGCTCAATGTGAAAAAATTGAGATATGATTAAAAATACGATCTGGGCATCTTTTAACCGGCCAAGACAAGACAGTAAAAACATTAGACGATCAAATCTATTTTTCCAAGGCTCTTTGATTAAAAATTAGTGTTTTTAACATAGCCATGGCACTCTAGATTGAAATTTGAAATACTATTTTTTATTAAGCGAAAATGTCAAAAGTTGACATATGATATGTCATTCTATTCAGAATGTCACTTTCTATCGAATAAAATAAAAAATACGGAGGGTGCCATTTAAAAATTAAAAGTTGTAGTCATTTCCGGTGAAACAGGAAGTAGTAGTAGTTTTTTTAAAAGTTTTATTTACATTAAATTACTAAAAATATTATTTATTTGAAGATTTTCTATGTAGAAAGTGCCTCTAGTAGACATCTATTAGAAAAACGCAAGACTTGTAAGAGTCTTGCAGCAAGACCAAGACATGACCCTGCAAGACTAAGACCAAGGAAGCCTTGCATTTGCTCATTACTAGAAATCCACTTTTGCTTATCTATAATATGCACATAATGTTCTTTTGTTCTTTAAGGATAAATCAGTTATATTTATACAGGGTGTTTTAAAACAAATACGAAAAACTTTAAGTAGGCCAGTAAGCGAGGATAAAAATAGGGTATTACCTCCGAATTCTTGACACACGCACCGATTGACGTGAAATTTTAACAGTGAATAGAGATATATGTAAGAAACAAAAGTTACATAGTAGCAATTTGTGCTTTCACCCTGGGGGTGAGTGCCACCCCTCTTCGGGGGTGAAAGATAAATCACCCATTTTAATTGCAAAAATCAATAAAGGGATGAATTTTAAGTAAAAAATGGTCTATAACATTTTTTCAGAAAATTAGTATTTTCCGAGTTATTTAGGATTGAAAATCTTGATTTTTCATTTAAAAACTGCATATTTTTCTGCCATTTTTTATAAATAACTCGAAAACCTTGCGTTTTGTCACAAAAATCATAGAGCAAAAATGAAGCTTTTGGAATAACGAATCAACTCATTTTTTGTTGATTATCGTAGGTGTAATAATAGCCGAGTTATCACTCTGTAAAGGTGATTTTTTAATTTTCGAAAACTAAATTCCAGAAAGGACACATTTTTCGAAGAAAATGAATATGACCGTTTTTCAAAATGCTTAAAAAACCTTTTAAATGCTTTTTTAAAGGTCTTTTCAAGTTTGTAGCTCAAAAACTCGCGGAGTTATGAAAAAATTAAAATGGTCACCTCATTTTTTCGGAAAAAAAAAATTAACAACAAAATCTATGACTAAAATCATAAAAATAAAAACTATCAATTGGTAGGATATTACACGATCTTCAAATTAACCTCTATAGTTGAACAGTCTTGAACTCTTCATTTTTACGAGATTTTTGGGTTTTAAGGGCTCTAAGAAGGTGGTCCTTACACGCAAGTCAAACTAAAAAAACGTAATATCTACGAAATAAAAAGATCTACAGAAAATTGAAAGAGAACAAAAATATTGCAAAAAAAAGACCTTCAATTTTACTCTGTTCAATTTTTTACGTATTGTTGCGGACCCGTGTGGACTCGACCTAACCTAACTATATGTCCCACCCTCAGATGACCTTAACATCGCATTACAGAATAGACACCGTAATTATTCATTCGAAGTTTCGAGAAGAATCGAGTTCCACAGGAATGGAGTAGTACATACGAGAACAATCGAAACCTTCTCTATGCACCTAATGATCTATGGACTATTCGAGAAATCTTTAGCTGTGGGTATAAAAGCCGGCGGCTGGGGCCTAAAGAGGACAGACATAAATAAACGAGTACACTTGACGCGCGAAGTTCAAAAATAAATTCTTTCTAGATAAATAGTTATAAATCGTTTGTAAATAGTTCTTTAAGTCTTTTATCGTTATTGTTTTTGTTAATTAGTGTTAAATAAATTGTGGTTAAATAAATTGTGACTTTCTATCCACATGGAACCGACGAAAAACGTAACAGTATCTTGCTTAGTTTTTGAGATATATAATTTTGTTTTTTTTTAAATAATAATTTTCTTTGTTATTTTCAACTTTTTTCCAAATTTAGGCATTCTAAACCGCGCGAAATGAAGACTTTAACATCTGTAACAAATCACAATCGGACCCATGTACAGGGTGGGTCAAATTCGACGCTTTTAAATGGAAACACCCTTTTCTATAGGAGATAGACAAAAACTAATATCGGTGTCTGGAGCTCAATTTTTGTCAAAAACATGATGGTGAAAACCGCATATCGATATCTGTTAGCGTTTCGGAGTTACAGGGTGTTTTTCAAAAATATGCATTTTTAACAAATCGCTGTAATTTTTTTGCTATGGAAAATTTTGTATTTTTATGAAAACATTTCCAAAGCACCTTTTTACGTAGAATTTAATGGTTTAAGTATAATTTTTTTAAAATTAATAATTTAAGAATTATCAACAGAAAATTCGATTTTTTATATGGGACACCCTGTATATTTTTAATTTATTGAAAATAATTTAAAATTACCTTTCCAAAAATATAACACACTTGATATTTTGCTTGATTCCTCTTCGGGGTATAGAGTATATAAAAATTCGCCCCCTTTAAATAAGTAGGCTTTGAACGGCACCGACTGTAATGCAAAAAAAATCTAGCTGTGAGCATCAATTAAAACGAAGATAATATTTGCTATGAGAGATGCAGAATTTTATAACAATTAAAAATATATTTAACCAACATCAGCACATTTAAACTATATCTAATAACAATAAAAATAAATAGCAAACCAAGACATGAGATTTTCCTACAGGTGTTCGACATATCAACCGTCTTCTGTTATGGACAGACGGGGCAGTTTTTGAACATTTCTCGCTGAATTCATTAACTCAGTGGGGGTGAAAGATACCCTCTCATAACTGCTAAGTATTTCTAATTCTTGTCTAGATTATAAGGAAGAATAAGGAACTGTTATTCTTCCGCAAATATATCCATAGGATTAGATCCATGTGCACTAAGTCAGGCGTCCTCGACGGCCAGCGGCTGGGATCTTAGTTAGCTATTCAATTATTCTTGAAATTGGCTGCAAAAATTTGGTGATAACTTCAGCGTTCAGAGGCGGTGCGTCGTCTTGCTGGAAAAATATGTTTTCGAGTTCCATTAAGGGCAACATCAATAAGGGGTCCAAAGCCTACTAGTTAAAAGTGGCGAACTTTTAAAAATTCTGTATTTCGAAGGGGATTATAACGAAATATCAAGTGTGCTATATTTTTGGAAAGGTAATTTTAAAATATTTTCAGTTAATTAAAAATATAGAGGGTGTCCCATAAAAAATCGAATTTTCTGTTGATAATTCTTAAATTATTAATTTAAAAAAAAATTATACTTAAACCATTAAATTCTACGTAAAAAGGTGCTTTGGAAATGTTTTCATAGAAATGCAAAATTTTCCATAGCAAAAAAGTTACAGCGAGTTGTTAAAAATGCACATTATTTAAAATCACCCTGTATCTCCGAAACGGTAACAGATATTGATGTGCGGTTTTCACCATCATGTTTTTGATGAAAATTGAGCTCCAGACACCGATATTAGCTTTCATCTATCTCCTATAGAAAAGGGTGTTTCCATTTAAAATCGTCGAATTTGACCCACCCTGTACATATAAAAAATAAATCTTATTTTTACGTGAAGAATCTCCCCATGAGATATGGCACATGTTTTTGAAACACCCTGTATATAATCAAACCAGTTGCATAAAAAAAATATAAAATGTATTGTTTAGAGTTAAGAAAAAAGGTCGCCCCGCTAGTCCACCAGATCGGCAGAAAATGTGCAGGACCATCCAGAGAATTCACTCGCCTTGCGCTAGTATTGTCTCTCATAATATTCAGATGACTGGTAAGTTTTTACAATACCTACGTATCATATATTTTTTCCTGCAAAAGAATTGTGATAAGAAACATTTTTGACTAATACTCCATTTATAACAATTTTTATCCTATGCTATTTTCACAGAAATCCCCTTTACAGGAAGCATATTATTATACCCGATATCCCGATATTTTTTTTTATATTTTTGTGCTCAAAAAATGCTTGAAAAGAATTTTTGACATTTAATGAATTTGACTCATACATATACAACATTAATGTAATCTCTTCGTAATACAGGGTGGTCCGAACTGTATTCCGAAAACTTCGGCAACATATTTTGCCGATAAAAATAAGTAAAAAAGTTCGTATAAATGTATGTCCTCAAATGCTTAGTTTCGGAGATACAGAGTGTAGAAGTTTCATTTTTATTTTTATTTTTTTCAAATAATTTCTGAAATAACGCCAATATTTTGATGAAAATTTGTGTCTGGGAGTTTTTTGACATGAGAAATTTGATTTTGAGGTCAATATGACTCCTACTTGTAAAGGAGTGAAAAAATATATATTTCCCTGATTTTTGACGTAATGTCTCTTGGTAAAAATCACTACGGGCAACCATTCTCAAGATATTTAGAATGGAAACAGTCACTGTATGTCATTATCGACAAAAAATAAACATGTTGAGTAGATAGTTATTTGATTGAAATTATAAATTTGGGAACTTTTTATTTTTTTAAATTAATCATAAATTTTTCTTTGAAAAAAATGATGATGAAACAGTTTCTTTTGAACTTTTGGCACAAAACATTTCAAATTTATGATTTCAGTCTAATAACTATTTAGTCAACATGTTTAATTTATGTCAATTATGACACGAATTGGTAATGTAGATTCCAAATATCCCGAGGACCATTACTCGTAGCGATTTTAACTAGTGATGAGCCAAACCGTGATTTTCTGTTCACAGGCTTACCTGCGACAGCGACTTTGTATTATCTGTGACTCTCAACTGTGACTGCGACTTTATGATTATGAATCCGAAAGCACAATCACGGCTAAAATATAAGATACGATACGAATGATACGATTCTGTTGTTGTTGTTATACTAATTTTTATTTGTCCTTTATCCAAGGCCGCTGAAATAGAAAACACTAAACAGTGGGTAAAAGGTATATTAAAAAATAAAAATAAAACAATTTTTTTATTTAAAGAAACCAACGGGAAAAGAATAAAATATGCAATATGCTCATAACCATAACGAACGAAACTTAACAACACGAGATAAGTAATACATTAAACAACAAATATTTTCCTTTGTATTAAAATAAACGAAATATATAAAAAATGAAGTTTCTAAAAAAAAATAAACAGTATAAAGGTAAAACTTTATGTTTGGCTTTAAAAAAAACTGCTAAACTAAAAAGGAACCAAACCGATTCGTAGTGATAGAAAATAGTAATAAAATATAAAATACATAAAAAATTAAATCACTTCTAACAGTCTTTAGATCACTTTGTCAAATATCTATCCTATGAGACGTACGTCGTGACTCGTGACTGTGAACTGAGTCACGACCTGCTCCATCGGCAGCTGCGTTCGCGACGCGCGACGTCCCGCTCTGTGAAGTATTTTCTCGTTACCAGAGAAATCACAATTAACTGTAATCGTCACGCTTTAGCAAGTCACCGTTTATTTTCAAATCAGTCACAGGCCGTGACTGTGATTATAGAATATCAGTGACAAAGTCACAGTTACCGATATTTCACTCATCACTAATTTTAACCAAGAGCTTTTTTACGTAAAAAACATCGTAAATGTATATTTTTTTACTCAGTAGTTTTATACAGGTACGGACAAAAAGTTATTACTCTTCAAACCAGTTAAAAAATATGTAGGTGGCACCCTCTACAAGTAGGAGTCATATTGACATCAAAATCAAATTTCTCATGTCAAAAAACTCCCAGACGCCAATTTTTATCCAAATATTGACGTTACTTCAGAAATTAATTGGAAAAAATCGAAATAAAAATAAAACTTCTACACCCTGTATCTCCGAAACTAAGCATTTTAGGACATACCAGTTGACATACCTTGACACACAACATGAACATACATACATGAACTTTTTTAATTATTTTATCTGCAGAATATGTTGTCCAAGTTTCCGGAATTCAGTTCGGACCACCCTGTATAATACTTAATCATACCCTTTACGAACTTTTAACGGTTCCACTCAAAATAAAACACTACTTCCCTACTATATACCAAAACACTTTATTTCGAACCCTAGACTCGTGTTTCGCCAACAATGTTAACATCGTCTATGCACATTGTTAAAATTCAAATTTTAACAACTTTTCCCCTCAGGTTTCAAAACATTCAAAACCGACAATACAAATATACGTATAAAATTGATATTATTTTTCCATTCTTTTTTAGGAGATAATTCTTGTAACAACTCAGATATCAATAAAATAAACTGTTTCAATTTGGAAAAGACCATCAGTTGTCCGGGAAAAATGTATCACATATCAACTACATCAAGGCAAAACTGCAATCTTAGTTCCACAGGCTCTTTGCATATAGTAGATAAGGTACGATAACTTAGTATATGCTAATTGATGATAATAATCGAATGATTTAGTTTCCTTGCAATGTTCCCCATGCCGATAGTGTCGTAGACGAATTAAAAGGAGAACTTGAGAAAGTAAAACATCAAATTAGTCGCTTATCAACTCAGAAGTTTCCAACAAGATGTAATACACCAACTACGTCCGAAAGTCGCAAAACCTCTCCTAAATCACAAGATCATGAAGGAGCAGTTAACAAATTAAAAAATGAAAATAAAAAGTAAAATTAGGCATATAGTATATCCAGTAAATGAAGGTTGAAACCACGGCTTAATTCGTCGATCGGGGCTTTTTAGGCGGATTGTGTACCTTTTGGGGAGTGGTTTTAGGGGAAAAATTGTAAAACGTTGTAAACCGAATGTATATACAGGGTGTCCCAGTATGAGGGTGCATTAGAAGTTCCTATAGAACTACAATATCTAGATCGGAGATTTTTTGCACATCATTGTTTAACAACGAGATCTATCGATTAAAAATATTTTTAATATGGCGGCACTTGAAATACCGGAAGTTGACACCAACTTTCATATTTTAAATGGGCGCCCCCATTTTTTATTACATACTTAAATTCTCTGTAAAATTCTATGAATATTGATATCAAACACTCAGACACAGAAAAAAAAAATATTTAAAATTTCTGGATGGAAAAAACTGCCTGTCAAAAATATGTGTACAGCCTAAACATTAACCGTTTTTGAGAAAAAAAAATATTTAAAATTTCTGGATGTAAAAAACTGCCTGTCAAAAATATGTGTACAGCCTAAACATCAAATTTAGTGATTACCACAGCCACTGTGCCATAGAGAGAAGACGTGTGGTTCTATCGATAATATAATTAACTAGAAAGAAGTGTCAACTCTGTGTTAGATCGTGGAAACACGATACGCCACCGAAAGCCTTCGTTGCCGTCTGGAGAACTAATTTTCCAATTGATAGGTTGACATGATGGCTTCATTTTTATTTCCGTTTCCGGTTATTCAAAATGGCGGGCCCTCTTTCTGTTTAAATGTATTTTGTACTCTTTTTTATCATAAATAAAACAAAACAAAATTTTATCCAAACATATTTATTTGAAACAACGTGACTAAATAAATATAAAAAATAAAGAATTGAATGATTTCTACAGCACTTACTTAATTATATGCAATTTTAACGTAAATTAGTAAGGTATAAGCATGACTTACAGTAATTTGTAAATAAATACACGTATTCACAGCCATTAGGGACAGAAAACGGGGGCAGGAATATGAAAACGGGAGCCTTATACAAAAACCTGAAAACAGAAAAACAATTTTTTTTATACTAAAATTAACAATGTAAAAATATCAATAGGTATAAAATATAAATATACTGTTTAAAAAAAGCGTCCATTATTCCCAAAGAGACCTGGTTTATAAATCAAAAAGAAGCAAAAAGAGACTTTTAGTCGGATAACAATCAGATTGTATCAGTCAGATTAATTGCATTATTGACAATAAATCGCACATACTGGAGATAACTAATGTTGGCCATAGTTAAAGCCTTGCTGTAAATTGTTTCCATTTTCAAAAAACCGCCGATCATAAACATAACAAAATTTTCTTGCATCTAAAAATTACAGAAATAGTGTTTATTTACTACCTATGTTTAATATACATGAGAATACCTAGTACTGCAGAAACGTCTTTTTCTCCAGGATTTTTCATGTAATATAAATATATTTTATATGCTTTATTACCTTTATATTTATAAATTTCAGCCGAAATATCAAATTGAATTTACAAAACAAAACTAAACGGAGAGAAATAAAATGGCGTCAAAATTTGTTCTAGAACAAATCTGAAGTTGTCTCTGAAATCCATGGTATATACAAAGAATACAAGGTATGATATTGCGCAGATTGGTCGCTACGTCACAGGTGATAACAGGCGCTATTGGTCAGCACGCTCCGCGCGCCAGTTCAAATCGTCAAGATATTGTTATAAACCTGTTTTTTTGTTTATATACCGTCATTGAATTATCGCTAAGCAAGTTACTGTGGAGCAGTGCGTAAGGAGTCGGGCTAGGAAGCGAGAGACCGGAGTTCGAATCTCGGCCGGGACATAACTTTTTATTTATTTTTTTAAATACTGTTGTATTCTATAGTTTATTTTTGTAGTATAAAAAAAGAACTATTTATTCTGTTATTTTTTAATCTCCGGTATTAATATAAATTGATTGTTGGTACAATACCTCATTTAATATAAAATAATATTCTACTTTTTGAAATGTATCGGGCCCTAATTGTACCTAAAAGTAATATATTTTTAATGATATACCATATTGTAAACTATTTAATATTTCAGTCACTTAAAAAGTTAATTTGCATTGAATAATTGCCTACCATTAAAGGAAATTTGAGCTATATAATCCTTGATGGGCATATTCTGGGTATGCAAATACTTTCTCTAAATTTTGGGTTTCGTTCAACCGATTTATTCTCAAAACCTGAAACATCTACATATAAAAAGAAGCAGAGGTCACTAATTATAATAAACTTCACCCTTGGAATTACTTCCACTAATTATAATAAACTTCACCCTTGGAATTACTTCTATCACAATTACAATACATTTATCTGAATTGGCATTTTCTACTTTTCGATGGGAAACAATAAAATTCCCAACATTTTTTAAATGATGTAACAATTCCTCTTGTGGTTACTTTTCCATATATTATATCCTCATCTCTGTCCTTATGTGAAATCAGAGGCAATTAACATGAAAATTATTTACCATAAACATCGCAAACTAAAAACCTAATAAAAAATTTTATAGGTACCAAATATAGAAATAAATTTAGTATTCTTACCTATTATGGTCCAAAGTCCAAATCCATGTTAATAGATAATTATTATTTTTAAATATGTTTTTTTGGAACTGCTGGTTTTAGTAATTATTAAATTAAACGAACTAAAAAGTCTTAAAAATAAACAATTCTTAACCATAACCCCAAAAAATGCAGATCTGTCAACTTTCTTAATTTTTTATTTATTCCTCATTTTCCTAGTGACGTCACAGGTGGTATGCGCGAACTGAACGAAATTGGAGCCGCTATCGATCATACCTTATATTCTTTGTACCATGTCTGAAATCTGTCAATTCTAATAAACTGTGAAGTTAGACAATAGTTAGACAGAAACATTGCTGTCCTTGTCTAGGCGGCCATACTTGTCAGGAGATGATAGGAATGACACTAATGACTGTTTCCCAATTTTCGTATTTCACTGTCACCCCCCTGGGTTCCATCTATTTCAAATATTATATTGTTTGAATGTCATATAATAATGGCAACAGCTGTCATGGACTTCAGCGATTAAAAGATGATCATAAATCATTTTTTCAAATGGAATCCCACTTTTTTTATTTCGCTATGTAAGAGTCTCACTTTATTTTTCTTTGGTTCAGTGAAAAATAAATAGCCTTATTGGCGTACAGTAGTAAATTTAAATCTCTCGGGCGCCACCTCTGTTATTTATAGTGGAAGAGGTCCACGTTTCGCCAATACGGGTAGCTTTTATACAGTGGAGATACCAGGGAGTGATGAAATGAAAAGAAATAAAACACACAGTTAACCATAACATAACATTAAGGCTTTATTTAATTAATTAACTATATGCTAAATACCCCAGGAAGTTTCACGACTTTAAATTGTAATGAAAGTGAAAGAAAGTTTATAATTAATGACTCGTAAAATAAAATTTACAACAATCGAGCACCTCTAGAGTTTTGACCGTATAATCTCGATATGCAACTCACTGTCCGATTTAATCACGCGAATTCAAAGCGCGTTTTTGACATGACGTTCTAGTAAATAAAACGACGCGAGTTTCTAACCGGCGTCTAACTTAACGGCGTCCTAGTAAACACAGACATGTACGTACCGGAGCGACATAATCTTTTATAAACCGACTTTCTAAACGTCGGCGACGTCGTTACAGGCGTCCCGGGATAGGTACGCACGCGAGCCCTGGATCGTTCGCAGTAGAACGAAACGGAGTCCTGTGGGATAGGTACGCACGCGAGCCCTGGATCGTTCGCAGTAGAACGAAACGGCGTCCTGTGGGATAGGTACGCACGCGAGCCCTGGATCGTTCGCAGTAGAACGAAACGGAGTCCTGTGGGATAGGTACGCACGCGAGCCCTGGATCGTTCGCAGTAGAACGAAACGGCGTCTCGGTGAGTCGTCTGGATAAGCACAGTCCACACCGCCCGGTCAGGACCACCTCGGGATGTCGGCGAGATCCCACGGCGCTCCTGATGAGAATACGGGAACTACAGAACCAGTCTCGGGATTTGGACGAGATCCTGTCTTAGCTCCAAGGATATTCGCACCCGGGTATTTACTGTACTACCTTAACCGCTATCTGTCTCCCTTTTTAATAAAAGAAATCGGTCTTCGCGTCCACGTAATCCGTTCAGCTCCCCTACCTGTTAGAGGACGGTTGGCCCTGAACGAATACAAGTTTTTGCTAGCTCTTGCGTTCGCGCGATCCGTTCAGCTCCCCTACCTGCTAGAGGACGGTTGGCCCTGAACGAATATAAATTTCTTCGCCCCTCGCGCCCACGTGATCCGTTCAGCTCCCCTACCTGCTAGAGGACGGTTGGCCCTGAACGAATACAAGTTTTGCCAGCTATTGCGATCGCGCGTTCTAACTATCTCTGTCTCCCTTATCCCTATAACGCGTCAAGGCAGTAAAGTAAACGGTATTAACAATAAAAAGAATACGACCTACTCTCGATCACGTTGGCGGTGGGTGCTTACCTTATACAATACGGCGGCAGGCGGCTGGCAGCGACGGCGGCAGGCGGCGGCAGGCGGCAGGCAGTAGGACACTTGGCAGGGCACTCCGGACTCGAACCTCACTGGTTCACGTGCGACCGCTAACTGCCTCTGTAGTGCCAGTGCGGCCGAGGTACTCGACTACGCTCCCCTCCACTCAACCTGCACTGGTAGGGAGAGCGGCGCAAACGTCTCGGTTTCTCGCACCGAACCACGGCGACCAAAACCGATCAAAACTCTCTTACAAAATGGCAATTAAATATTTAACTTATTTAATTCAACAATAGAAACACTAATGAAGTTCATTACAATAATGAGTTAACAATAAAATACACTGCCTGTTATTATTACAAGAGAATCAAGTCTCTATTATTCTAGTATAATATTAATATAATATACAGGGTGGCCCAGAAATTTTATGAACTTCATTACAGCTAGTCAAAAGGTTTTTCAATTCGTTACTTTTTGACTATACATGTTCCTATACCTAAAATAAATCGTTTTTCAGTTATTGAAGATTTAGTTTTACAGCGTATATTTTTCTTGATTTTAACCAGTAGCCTATGACTTTAAATGTGAAGGGATGTAAAACAATAGATCTGGCCATGTCATATTGTGACACTTTGTTCAAAAAGCAGTATGTTATCTATCATCATTTCCAAGCCAATTTTGCGCTGTTTTTTTTCGATCTACGGTATATTATTAATAATATCAACTATTAGATATCACTAAAGAGCGAAAATAAGAGATATATTTTTATAAATACACTATTTAAACTCTTAAAGCAGGCAGTATTTATATTATAGGTTCAAATAATTTGTTTTCTGACAGATGGAAATAAATTGTCTGACTTTTGACACTTAATATCAAAGGAAACTAGATAAAATCAAGAAAAATATGCGTTTTCAAACTAAATCTTAAATAACTTAAAAACGATTTATTTTAGGTATAGGAACATGTATTGTATAGTTAAAAAGCAACGAATTGAAAAACCTTTACACTAGTGAAATAAAAAAGTGTTTCCATTTGAAAAAAATGATTTATGAAAATTTTTTAATCGCTCAATTACCTGACAGCTACCGCCATTATTATATGACATTTAAACAATTTAATTTTTGAAATAGATAGCCACGTGTCCTCTCGTTATGGCACAATATCTTATAATATGGCTTATAATCACTAAATTTGACGATTAGGCTATACACATTTTTTTGACAGGTAGTTTTTTTTTCGTCCAAAAATTTAAAATATTTTTTTCTCAAAAACGGTTAATGTTAGGTATAAAGTGTTTGATATAAATATTCATATAATTTTACAGAGAATTTAAGTATGAAATAAAAAATGTGAGCACCCATTTAAAATAAGAAAGTTGCTGCCAACTTCCGGTATTTACGGAAGCGCCGCCATATTGAAAATACTTTTAATTGGTAGATCTCGTTGTAAAACAATGATGTGCAAACATTTCCAATCCAGATATTGTGGTTCTCTAAAACTTCTAATGCACTCTAAGCCTGGGACACCCTGTATATTCATATTTTCACTAATAATAGCTTATTTCTCAAGATTTTTTGAACAGTTGTTCTTAAAGTATGATTAAGCAACTCAAAAAAATTTGAAGAATTTGTTCAATCACATTTAAAAAAAATTGCATAATTACGAATAGTAGATTGGTTTCTTTAACGTTACGAAAAACAGTGTCAGGATCATATTTTTAACTAATGACCCAATCTTCCATTTGACGATCACGAAAATCATCCACATGCCATATCTCGGCCAATATTGGCAAAAACCCCGGTGTTTGAGCGTTTAGGGCCGATTTTAACCGTTATCCTATGACTTGACGAAAAAAGTGTTTTTTTTTCTTGTAGATCATGACCTAAGCTTCATTTTTTATTTCAAGAAAAATTTTGTAAATTAGATATTTTGGAGATATTTGCGAAAAACTGATTTTTAGGCCATGTGGGCCATTTTTTTGGCCAAAGTCGGCAATGCACGATGTTCAAATTTTTTGCCCTAATATTACTCCCCAAAAAATCCGCCTTAAAAGTTATGGACGACGAATCAAGCCGATGTTTGGATTTTTTCGTGCCCTTATTTACTGGACTAATAAAACAAAAAATTAAAATACAGTAATTTATTGAATTTTCTAGATTGAAAAGAGAACTGGAAGCCAAGAGAAGACTTTTGGAAAGATCAAAGTGCGATGTAGAAAGAGCAAAAGACATTTTATCCGATTACGAAAAAAAAGTCTCCCTGTTACACGCCCAAGCAGTAAAATCATCGAAAACTATGAAATTGAGCAAAGAAAAATTTTGTCAGTATTTAAAAGATCGCGACGAAAAAATCAAGTACTTGAAAGAGAGTCAAGAATTGCTGGCGAAGAACGTCAAGCAGAAAGACTCGATGTTGAAAGAGAAAGACGAAGAAATATCAAATTTAAATTATACCTTAGAAGCCATGAAAAGGGCGTTTTCCGAAACTTCTGAGAAGTGTACATGTTTGGCCGAAACTAATCAAAGTTTATGCGAGTCGGCAGAAGTGTTAAAAAGTCGTCTGATGACTACGTCTACTGAAATTGACAAGCACAAGGAAACTATCAAAGTTTTGGAACAGGTACAGCATAAACTTTTATCTAAGGCCGGGTCCAGACCAAGGTGACAAAAAGTAAACACGATTTTGAGGCAAAAATAAGACAAACTTGCGACAAAAAATGGGGAATTCTGACAAGACAAACTTGAGACGTATTGTCCACACCGCAAGGACAAAAGTACAACAAAGTCAAAAGTTTAGTTGTTGCGAATGAGTTTTATTAATAGACTAAGAGCTGGCTACATAAAAAACCTTATCATCTTTACATGGCCAATTTTTTGTGTGAAGTATCCTTTTGTGTAGCCATTATGAAATAGTCATGTCTGCCAGCGCGATCCCGGGGCTTAAAGCGGGGGCGGCCTATCAAAAGGGTGAAATTTTCACACTAAAAATATTATAAGATACATGAGTTATAATTGCGAAAATAGCTATTATTTATTATTAAGAAAGGTGGAAAATTGTTGGCAGACATTTTTCCAGTCGCTAAAATGCCGACCGACAACGCGAAAGAGGCATGAAATTTTAAAAATTATTAAAAAATGAAATTTGAAGAATGAAAAAAATTATGGCATATTTGCATGCCGATTGGTGAAATGTCATATTTATTTACTTTAAAAGCCGTATGCAAAAGGGTAGACAAAAAGATCGTGGCTCGATCAGCTGCAGACAGTTATCAAAAGCGCGATATTACTCTAGCGCTTTCAGGGAACGCTCGCCGCCTCATCCATTTAAGTATAGATAAATCATATAATATACGATTATAATATAAATATATTTTTTTATTATTTCAATAACGATTTTTTTGTCTGCCCTTTTGCATAAGGCTTTTTAAATTAATTAACAATAAACATGACATTTCACCAACCGACATGCATGTATGCGATGATTTTCTTTTGTTAAAATTCTATGTCTCTTTCGCGTTGTCTGCCGGCATTTCAGCCACGAGAAAAATGTCTGTCAACAATTTTACATGTTTCCTAATAATAAATAAAAGCTATTTGGCAATTATAACTCGTGTACCTTATAATATTTTTAGTGTCAAAATTTCACCTTTTCAATTGGCCGCCCCCGCTTTAAGCTCCGGGATCGCGCTGGCAGCCATGACTATTTTACAATGGCTATACAAAAGGATACTTCACACAAAAAATTAGCCATGTAACGATGATAAGGTTTTTTATGTAGCCAGCTCTCGGTCTATAACCATGTGTGATTTCATTGGTCTCCTACTGTTGGCAGCACATGCCATCCTCCACACTGCGCCGACAACTTGTCGTAAAATATACGAACAAAACATAGACACTTTGATCTTTACCGACTCGAGACGACATTGAAAAGTCTCCGAATTTTGAAATAAAACAAAAATGTCACAGAAAAATGTCGTAAAACATGAATGTTTCTGTCTTGTCGATGTTTTGTCTGCTTGGTCTGGACCCGGCATAATACAACTTGTTTATACAGGGTGGCGCACTCGGTGTTGACCCCTCGGCGCACCTCATTCGCGTCTTGAATTCGCGTTGACTGGTGCTCATAAGTAAATACAGGGCCATAAGAAAGGAGAAATATTTAAAAAGAAATCGGCGATAACTCGTAAACGAGCTAATCAAAAATATCTAAAGTTATTCTTTTGAATGTGGGTTTTAGTGCTCTTCAATAGACCTAAATAGAATTATTCTCTAAAATAATTAGGGAAGCCAATAATTGACCCCATTAAAATTTACATGGGATTTCCTATGTCCCGCTCGACGATGCAACACCCGGTATACCTCTACATTACTGGTTATCTTTTATTCTTAACTCTATGGTTTCATACCTTAAACCAGTGTATAGTGGTTATTTCGCAATATCTCAAGTAGCAGCGGTTTTTTTTAAGTTTTTTCATCGATTCTAATGTGTTTTGAAATCGTGACGTCAGCGTAGTATTGTCGATACCCACATTCGCGTTAATTATATAAAAACGGAAAAATGTAGCTAACCTAACCTAACCTAACACCCGATATTTTATTTAATTTTTGGATTTTTGAATATAAAATAAGGCATTTATTATAAGGGTTAAATATGTTTACAAGCTTTGGATTTTGAGATATAGGTATAGTCTATGAAACGAATAACTTTGAATTTGACAGTTCTCGCGGGCTTTTCTAGTGTTAATTTTATTAAGTTAGCAACTTGCGGCCATGCTGACGCATTGCCGTCTCTAATAGAACAGCCTCGGAGCGAGATTTATGACGTCACGGTAGTTAGATACTACGGATTAATAAATATGTTGTAGAATACATGGAAAACATAATTATTCCTCATATTTTTAGGTTGAATTTTAAAAATGATATATTTTACATGAAATATACATAATATACAGTTAATAATACAATATTATTACTATACATATGCAAACTATTTATAGTAATAAATACTTTGGCAATTAAACTATGAACCATACAAACGCAGCAAATGTTTTACAATATACAAATAATGACTAGGTACATAAGATAATGGGTAAAATGTAAAATATAATTTAAATTTTGGGGTTTGAAAATAATTTATATGTATATTTTGCAAGTATCAATGTTCGAAAAATTATATTTGCAAATAATACAATATCATAGAAAAAAAGGCGTCAGCGATGGCTATGAAATAAACATCGCTGTCATTTTATATATAAAATTATTCTAAATTTTTTTATTTTCTTGGGATTTAGGTTCGGAAACGCTGATTAAGTTTTCATTTAGTTTTTCATTTTTTTTTTCGTTTAAAAAAAATACGAGGAATAATTATGTTTTCCATGTATTCTACAACATATTTATTAATCCGTAGTATCTAACTAGCGTGACGTCATAAATCTCGCTCCGAGGCTGTTTTATTAGAGACGACATTGGTCTGATATTTAGAAATGTCAAAAGCTGATATTTTACTTTTGACATTAATGCCATTTTGTGTTGATTTTTGCAAGAAGAGGAAGAACTGTCACTTGTTTTAGTATTTTCCTTTTCTATTTCACGAAAGTAAAAAGAGTTACCTATCTGAGTCGTTCAGGCACTCAATTTAAAGAATATCAGTAACTTTTTTGACAGAGGGATTTTATATTTGCCATGTTGGTAAAAAATAACGGTCAAAATTCAAAGTTATTCATTTTATAGACTATATTACGATATTTAAATCACAACCTAACCTAACCAATGCAAAGCAATTTTCTTTTTACTTTTTTTTTCTACTTTCAATTTCTCGAAATTAGAAAAAATATACAGCTAAAGGCCAAAAAATATTATTTATTAATATTTAAATATTCATGATGTAATAAAAAAGATTTGTCAACACCCTGTACATTACTTTTCAGAATTAATTCTTGTGCTGACTTTTAATTTGATTGCTTCCTTAAATGTATTCAGGGGTATCAAAAATTGCTAGTCTATTTTAAATACTTTTTTTTGAGCGGGGAAAAAATCTGCAAACCAGCGACCTGCAAACTTACCGACTAAAAAAACCTCCACAAGCTGCTTTGAATATCTCCCCTAGGAACTACCTTTCGGCATTACTTCTCAAGGAGGCGGTTTTACGGCGATGTTTTAGTTACTTCGTCTAGCTTCTTTCTCTTTTATATCTATTAGTGTCGCCATAAAAGTGTGAACACTATTCCAATTTTCTGGAGATCGAATCATCTCTGGAACTAGATCGGAAACCTTAATTTTATGGACTCTTAGTTTTTTGTACAGAACTCTTCGTTCAGCTGTCCAGCGCCGCGATTACATTCCAAGAGAAATGTAACTCCACCGTATCAGCATCGGAGTCGCCATGGAGACATCTCGGGCTATCAACTAACTTTATTTTATGCAGGTAATACCTGAAACAACCGTGGTCAGAAAGAAATTGACTCATGGCATAGCTAGGTTCTCCATATTCTCTATTTGTCCAACACTCTAGGTCCTTTATAATTGTTCTAGTCCATTTACCTTTCCCATTTCTGTTTTCACTCCATCTTTTACACCATATTTCCAACTCTATTTCTACTTGCTTCCGCTGTTCTTCCTGAATGTGCTTGCCTTTCTTTCTTCAATTACTATGTCTATTGGAGCAATTGAGCTCAAAATTTTTCTGCAGCCCCCGCAGATATTGTCCTGTATCCACGACATACTCTTATGGCCAATCTTCGTTGTACTGCGTTCTTTTAGCTCCTTGTCTATTCCTTCTCTCCAGCTCTTACGTGGTCTACCCTGGTCATTTTTCGTCGTCTCGCTGCGCTGGTGTCCAGTTGTGGATCTGTTTTGGGAGCCTTTCCTCTGACATTCTTTGTACGTGACCATACTATATTAGTTGTTTCGTTTATGTCATCAGCTATTGTTCGATTGACCCTTATAAATTTTCGTTATTCTGTTGTTCGTATACTTTATTTATTTTATTTTATTTAGACTTAGAGATGTTACTATCTCACAAGACGCTATTTAACATAGAGATTGCCTTTCTTCCCTGAGCGTTTCTCTCTCTAATGCATGGCTTTATCAAGAGTGCCGTCTCTTGAAATTTTGGTTCCCAAGAATTTCTTGGAATTCTTGGAGGTTTTCTTGGAATAAATAGTAATAAATAAGAGAGACTAACAAATGTAAATTAATGTCAAATTTTAGAAATTCTGTGAACTTAATGATGCCTGTAAAAAAATTAATACCAAAGCACGGAAACAGAAGGAAAACTACGACAATAAATTAAAAGATTTCACCGAAGAGAAAAGCAAAATGGCAGAAAAAATGTCGGAGTTATCTACAAAAGTGGACGAAGTGGATACCCAGAAAAACATTATCAAGGAGCTGGAATGCGAATGTAAAAATCTGAGAGAAAAAATTAAATCGCTGGAAAATATGTCAGACAGGTTATAACATAATATGAAATTATCAATAAATCAGATATTAATAGAACAATAAAAATGCAGATGCGAATCTTTGGAACAAGAATGTAAGAAGCATTACGAATCGCTATTAGATTCTCAAGTCAGTTTCCACAAAGAAAGAGACGAAATGAACAAATTAATCGACCAACTTACAACAGTGGTGAAAGATAATAAAACGACTCTTCAGCACATGTCTGAAATCAATAAACAACAAGAAGATTTGATTAAATCCCAGAGCATGGCTCTATTGACTAAGGTACTCGACTTTTTTAAAGAGATAATTTACCCAAATCGATTTATAAATCGGTCTGAATTTTAGGAGCAACAACTAAAACTGATTGAGAAGCAATCAGAGCAATTTGAAATCAAAAACAAGGAATTGGAAAGAGAATTGGAAGATTTGAGAAGGAATTTCTCAGCACCATGCAGTAAAGAAGCATGTATATGCATATCGAAAGAATTAGAGAAAGTTAAGTAAGTTATAAATTTATATCTACTTAATACTTCGATTTAAGTTCAAACTTCTATTCTACAGGGCGTTTCTAAAAACATGTGCCATCTCTTGTGGGGAAATTCCTCACCTAAAAATAAGATTTATTTTAGTAGAAAAATATTCCAGTGATAACCTACATGCATGTACCTGGTAAATATGTCGACACTTTTTTAGTATTAAAATATGTCTCACTGATAATAACTTTTACCCTCAAAATTTCAACGAATCGCTAAAAGTACTTGACAGAAAATTATAATAAATCGGAAAAATATTAAGATTATAACTAGCGATGGGAACTATCGAATGAATTAGACTATCGAATGGTTACTGAATGAATGATTTCAACTATCGAATGGTTTTATTCGAATAAAATCATTCATTTATTTGTATACTAAAGCATATGTGACAACCTCGCCGTGCGACTAAATGGTTATCGTTGAGCCACGACTATCGAATGCTTTTGATAAATGAAATTTAGTATTTAATTATATTTAATTCGTTTGATTTTTGTGTGCGTCAGTGCATTATTAGTTCTTCCAAATTTTTATAACTTCGCCTTATAAATACTGTGCTATTTTTGCGTTTATTAAAATATTTAAAATACTAAAATAGTAGTTTTTTTTAATTGACGATTGTGTGCGTGTGCAGGTGTCAAAATTTTTCAGAAAATTTGTGTGATTTTCCATAGCCCGGATCAGTTCAATTATTTTATTTTATATGGTATATGGTCTATTTTTAATGGGAAATTTTGAGAAGTAGCAATTTTAAGAGAGATGAGATGAACTTAGAATTAATTAAAAAATACATATTTCTATTTTAGATGTTTTAATAATATGAATTAGTTGAACTTAATAAATCATATATTTAAGTAATGTGGTTAAGTAAATGGTTATCGAACCTTTAAAACTATGGGGTGAGAAAAATTAAATTGAAAGTTTTACACGTGCCAATTTAAAAAAAATGTTAACGATGTTTGTATTTTGTTTGTGCTAATTCTCTTACATGTAGTTTTTTGCGAAGAAATATTTCATTTATTTTTTAAAGTAAATGCCAGTAAAAGTAAATATTATTTTTAAATAGTAATATCCTTGGTAATATAAAGTACCTACATAATATAAATAATTTTGATTTCTAATTTTTTATTTATATTTTCCTTCCATTACACTGCATGCTTAGAAAATTAATATGTTTATATTTCATGATTTTAAAGTTTGTTGTTAATATAACAAATTAGTTCTGTAATTATTATTATTTAATAAACCATCATTGCCAAAAAATTTAAAGACTATTATTTTTAAATAGGATCTAATATAAGTAATTTTGACATCTAATTTGTTGTTTATATTTTGCTACTACGTAAAAAATGTTTATATTAAATTATTTTAAATTTTGTTGTTAATAGGTATAACAAATTATTACTGTTATTATTATTTTTAATATACTTAAAAACATTAAAAATAATTTTCCTACATCCAAAATAACAAGTATTATTGCAGTGTAACAACAGAATATTAATAAAAAAAATGCAAAATATATAGATATACTATCCCTAACTAACTAAAGCCAAACAATAATATTCTTTGCTAATATCAACTAATACCAATATATGGCAACAGCGCCCTTCATAATGTATTTTCTGTGTAAATACTAGCACCTCAATAAAAAAATAATGTGTCCTTATCTTTATATAACTCCGCAAAAAAATCAAAGATGCCGGCTTTTCATAGCATTGCCACCGCCGTCGGGTTTCTGAAAGAAACCTACGTCGCCGGATTTCACAACTAAAAAATTCAGTTAATATTTTATTATAATCGATCCTGACGAATAAATGAATTTCATAAATGAATGAATTTTTATAAATGAATGGTTTTTGCTGCCGAATTACTAGAATACAATATTTCGTTGCAGATGACGCATCTATTCGATAATTTTATTCCGAATAGTTTTCAACGAATGTTTTCTTTACTAGCTATCGAATTATTTCGATCGAAGTCTGCAACTATCGAATGTTTCGGATAGTATCCTTATCATCTGATAGTTCTTACTACTAATTATAACCGGGGTCTGTAGCTAAGCAAAATAAAGCAGAATCGAACTTATGTTGATATGAAAAAATGTAAATCTTATTTTTACGTGAGAAGTCTTCCCAGGAAAGATGGCGCATGTTTTTTTTAAACAACCTGTATACGAATTTGTGTAGAAAAATAATATATGTTGAAAATAAGTAACTTTAAAATTAATTATAAATTTTCTAATTGATCAGTAAAATAAAAGTATAGTGTGTCCATCGAGAGATATAACAGTGACATTGTCTGACCTTTCAATTCAAAAGCAAATATTTCTGTTTGAATTTTTGGAATGCCGTCTGTCGAAATTGTCCTTTCTCTCGCTGGATAAACTTTATTTTAGGTAGTTTACTTACAGAATAAAAATTGTAATTGTTGTATCTTTTGCGCTGGTTATGGTACCAATTAAACTTCTCTTCTAGTGGACTGTATTATTTATTTGGGTATTACAAACTAACACTATTTACACTGATTTTATAAATATAACGTAATTCGTCACCGTGTGCTTTTATCGTCTACCAAGAACCTATCAAGAATGACTTATGTCAAAAAATGTGTACAGTGGTGTAATTTTTCAAATAAATTATTAAATGTGATCAGTGGCGTGACAGATAAACATAATACAAAAAATCCAACATACTGCCCGGCCTTGAACTATCTTTTAGATAGTTAAACAAAAAAGGAAAACAATGAACACAAGTTAAACAATGAACATTAAGAAAAACATGATTTAAAAAACATATATGGTGTGATAATAAGCACGAAATAAACATTCAGAGTGGAGAATGTCATTATGCGGTCACAGCTCTCTTCCATCTTCTTCATACTGGTAGGACAATACTTTTTGTCACTGATCTCTTCACCTCACCAGACGATGTGCGCACTGTCACAACGCGCACGACACCATCAGACCCTGATTAAGCAGTGCTATTCTCCCCAACCTCCATCTGGAGAGGGGGAAGGCTGTCCTCTTTCAGTAGAACCAGATCCAATGCTCAGTTGATGATTTTGGTTGATTTCCACTTGCCCTGTTCTTGGAGTGTGGAAATATATTCTTTTGACCATCTGGTCCAGAAATGTTGGAGCACCTGGGCAAACTGCTGGATACTTTGATAACCTATTTGTTGGTGTCCCGTAAGTCACTCTCGGGTAGGGAAGAAAGGGGGGGTCCAAGTAGAAGTATCCAGGAGTCATGCGGAAAAATCGCAAGGATCATTTGACAAAGGATGAATAGGTCGTGAGTTCATACATGCTTCTATCTGACAAGTGATTGTAGAAAATCTTTCGAACGTTAAATTTAAATTACCTAGAACTCGTTTAATATGATATTTAGCAGTACGGACTGCAGCTTCCCACAACCCACCAAAGTGAGGCGATCGTGCAGGAATAAAATGCCACTGTACAAATTCAGAAGTTAAGTAATCTGTATATGAGGTATGAACAGGTCTTGATTTAATAAAGTTAAAAAATTCTTGTAAGTTATTTTGAGCACCGACGAAATTTGTGCCGTTGTCGCTATAGATATTGGTAGGTTTTCCACGTCTGGATATAAAACGCTTTAAACAGTTTAAAAAACATTCGCTGCTGAGGTCACTTACCAATTCTAAATGACAAGCTTTTGTTGAAAAACATATAAATATGCATAAGTAACCCTTGACTGTTCGATTACCGCGGTATTTATGTAGTTTTATGTTAAATGGACCCGCATAATCCACTCCACAATTCTGAAAAGGTCTTGATGGCGTAACTCGGTGTATAGGCAAGTTACCCATTATAGGTGTTACATTGTTGGCCTTTTGTTTAAAACAAACAATACATGTTCTTAGTATGCCTTTAATAGTGTTTTTTGCTGATAAAGGCCAATACCTCGTTCTGATAGTAGCTAATAGGGTTTGAGTTCCTGCATGAAGCATTTTATAATGTTCATGTCTGATAATAAGCTTAGTAAAATGATGTTTACCCGGAAGGATTATCGGATGTCTTTGTTCATAGATAATATCTTTGGCATGTTTTAATCTTCCTCCTACTCGGATAATATTGTTGTTATCTAAGAATGGGTTTAAGCTTAGTAGTTTGCTTTGTTTGGGAATACATCTGCCATTCTGTAATGCATGTAGTTCTGCTGCAAAACATTCTTGCTGCACAAGTTTTAATAAGAACCATAAACTATTCTGTAGCTCAGCAACAGTTAGTTCTCCGGTTAGCTTGATAGTTGTTTTTGATATATTATGTTTAAATCGGAAAATGTATGCTGTGACTCTTTGGAGTTTCATAAGTGATGAAAATCTTGTTAATAAAGTGGTGTCTAATGCTTGCTAAAACATACTATTGATGCATTTTTCTTTGTCAGAATTTCTTCTGTGGCGAGTTGAGTGTGTGTTGAAGGCCATGTATCGAAATTCTCTCAACCACTTTGGTCCATACCACCATAGTTCTGAATGACTCAGTTCGTACGGTGTTGCAAATTCACGGGATATAATATCTGGTTGGGTTACACTCTCTTGACACATGATTCCACACACCTTTAGTATTTTCTGTGATTTCTTTTTGTATTTCTTAATACGGTTTGCTACAAACACTTTGCAAGTTACAAGGTTCCAATTCTAACCAAGCTAAACTATTAAAAGCACCCAGTAGTAGATTTTATCAATATGTACCGATAAACAACTTAAACAGACTGCATTAATCTTGATAATATTAATGCACCACAAAGTTCAAGCCTAGGTATTGTTTGCGTTTTTATTGGTGCTACCTGATTTTTGCTGGAAATAAGATTAATGGTATGTTGACCTTATTTGATTGGTTGATCGAATATAAATTGTTGCTCCGTATATTTTTTCACTAGCATCGCTGAACCCATGTAGCTCAATCTTAACTGGATTGCTGCAAATTGTTTGTCTGTGAATTTTGATATT